CCGGGGGCCAAATCTGGCCCTTGGTAACATTTATTTGTCCCTCAAGATGATACTTTAATTGTAAAATATTTTTATCACTGTTCATTCTGCTTTAAAGCAGCAAATTTTATTCAGTGCAGACTTGTCATCACCGATGCAAATGGGTACGAGCCTCCTACTGGATAATCTCTGCAATCTTTCAGCTGGCAACAAGTTATTTAAGCCCAACTGGTGCAATGAGTTGCTTCTCAGTTCTTGATGAAAGACACATCGTGTGGTCGTGGAAAAGATGTCAGTCTCTTTGAGAAGGGTCAAATTATTGGCATCAAGCAGAGAAAACATCTAAGGAGATTGCAGAAACTACTAGAATTGGGTTAAGAACTGTCCAACGCATTATTAAGAACTGGAAGGAAAGTGCGAACCCATCGTCTTCGAGGAAGAAATGTGGCTGGAAAAAATGTGGCCTACTGTAAAGTGAATGAAGCTTTTATGAAGCATTGAACCAGTTGGGCCAAATGTTTCAAAAATAGCTTCATTTGTTGAAGCTTCAGTTACAGTGACCTCTTGTGGCAATTTGCGATGCTGCTGTCAAATTGTGCTTTTGGTGTCACACTCCGAAGAACTTCAATGACTAGTGTTAAAGAAACTACTGTGGTAAAACAACTGATTTTTAAAATTCATCAACTTTCTATGTTATCTGGTTTGAACATTTATTTATGCTTACATGTTTTCAAATAAAGACTGATAAACGTGCATTGAAGAGATTTAATAAAATCGTTGCACTGGTATTGTGCTTGTGTAACTGGCAGCGTCAGAGTCTTTATCATTCTTAAAATAATGAAATGACGTCTCCAGCATCTACATGTTTGGTGCTGAAGTGTCTAATCATAGAGGAGGTATCATGATGCTTCAGTTCAGTTGAACACACTAAACACTGCACCTGTAGCAATAGACTAATGTAAATACAAATTTAATTTGAGCCCATTATGACTATTAAAATCACATACATCATTTTACTGTAATTATATTAAGTACGTAGGTTAAATGGGTTAGATATCTTAACTGCTGAACATTACTATAACTTTTTTTTTTACATTTATTGTTTTTCATTTTCATTTATCCTTTATTTATCCAGGTAGTGTCATTGAGCCACGAGAACTCATTTTCAAGAGAGACCTGTTTGTGGAGCAGATGGGGGTTAGGGGCCTTGCTCATGGGCCCAGGGTGGGGCGAATGAGGGTGGGGGCAGGTGTGGGTACCTCACCTACCTGCCCCACCCACATTTTTGATGTTGTCGGTACCGGGGCTTGAACCGGCAATCTTCCGATCACAGGCCCACCTTCTCTAACCTCTGCGCCACCACTCCCCCTATTTCAAATTCAAAACCACCTTATCATGAGCAAGCAGAATGAATCCACATGTTAGAACGACCTCTTTACCTGGCTGCCTTCATAATTACTCTATTTCAACTATTTCAACAACACAACAGCAAAAACACCTGCTCTCCAACACATTGCTAACATTTAAGAGCTGTTTTATAGTGTTGAACCCTCTCAGTTCAAAACTGTCTCAACCTGAGCCAGTCACCTGTCAGAATCGAGACGAGTCAGTGCCAGGGAATCAGCTGTTTGGACCGTGAACCAGTCATTCCAACAACAAAACAGTTTGTGTTTCAGACGTCATGTGTCACGTGACTTCTTCCGCACCAAAACAGGCTCTGAAGCAGTGGTCCCATGTAATTTTACTGCATGTTTTGAAGCTTTTGTTTTATACTACCATCACTACTACTGTACAAGCCTGTGGGGGCAGTGGTTGCTGCAGTTGGTCAGGTCTAGATTCAGCAACAGCATGTGCTCAAAGAATGAGGTCAGCTGACTACCTGAATATACTGAATGACCAGGATTCCTCGGGCTCGACTTGTGAAAGAGTGGTTCTGGGAGCATGAGACATCATGTTCCCACACAGATTGACCACCTTGTATAATAAGACCTTGTATAATATTTGACCTTGATTTATGACCTTAACCTTGAAGCTGGGGTGATGAAACGTATACATGACACTCCATCTAGTGATGATTCATATGTGTATATCAAGTATCTGTATGTGTATCAAGTTTCATTACGTTATCTGGAGCGGATCAGAAGTTATGGGCTGGACAAGGAAAAGTTTAAGGATGTAGGGATGAATGGATGATACTATATCATAACACGTCCGGGTCAGGGTTTGGGTAAAATCTTCAGATTGGCACCAAAAAAAGTTTGTGTGAAAGGTGAAACACCCTCACAGACCTTTGACCCTCCATCTACTCCTTGTGCGCTTAAGAAGCCAGCCCTCTGCTCCACATGTGTGATGGGAAAAGGCAGAGAATGAATTTCCCCATTAGGGATTAACAGAGTATAATAAAATACACAAAAATGTATTTAAAAAAAGTCTGTCAGTCAGAGGTTTGTACTATTTCACCTTCTAATTATTCAAGCCTTTGAACTTCAAACCGTCATAATAAATGTACAATAAATGGATTCATCAGGAACATGTTATTAATTGGAAAGAAAAATGTTTATTAATTAACTGAACTGGCGTAACTAGCCTCAGGATTTTTGCCCATTTTAGGTGCGTTTACATTTAAATGTTGCCAAAGCCTTTTCCCCAGGAGTCACTGCACTGAAGTCCATGGACTTCAGATGAGGCAACGTCAAAATCACACGACTCCTGCAAATACACATACAAATTAAATTAGCATTTAACTAGGATGATTCAGTAAAACATGTATTTATTGTACTTTGATTATTAGGAGGATTCGTTTACTTTTATTTAAAAAATCCTTTCCACATTTTTGAAGCTGTATGAAATAATTTAATAAATAAGTGGCATACTGCCTGAGATTGTGCCTTTTTATAGTTTTGGGTTGATTGTGCAAAACAAGCAGAGTTACATGATAAAACTGCAGAATTAGGTTGAGTTTTGGAAGAATGGATTTAGATCAATCTGCACAGATTGTAAAATTAGCTGCATCTTCATGCCAGTGGTGTCTACATTTTACAGATGATACATATTTAGGTCTGGTTGAGCTTCAAGGCTTCAGCCACCGTTCATGGATTGACTTTGGAATGGCATCTTCAAGTTGGGTTCTTCAGCAGCTTGGCTCACTTTTAAACATGTCCTGCAGGGTTCAAGCCAAATGACTTGCCAAGCAAGTTTCAACGACAACAACGCAAACTTCAACCCAGTCAGCTTGTCACCTGTAGTCTCTGCTGGTGGTTTCGATGGGGTTTCCATGCAGCGTGATGGTGTGAAGATGCTGCAACTCTCCTAGTTTGTCGATCTCCGTCAGAGTATCGATTTTGTTGCTGTGAAGGTGCAACACGCGGAGCTCC